TCACTTTTAATATTAAAACGAAAATTAAAAATATATATAGGTATTATACTTAATATACTGTAAAGTATAGTGATAGCCAATAAGATTTATTTATTGACTAATGTCTTTGCAATAATTAGATTCCTACCGGCTAAAAATATATACCTCAATATCCAAAAATATTCACCATAGTTTTATTTTAATCTCTAAATTAACTTTTTTTAGCATTCAAATTTGAAAAAAAAATCAAATCGGCCATATCAGGTAGTTGATAAATATGTATACACATATATGTTTAATATTATATTATAGTCTGTATGGTATTAATAATAAAGTTTAATAAATCACAATCGTTATGATATTAATTTATTAATTCAATATTATATTATGCATGAAATTGGCACATAATCAATAATACGATTTGTATGGTAAATAGCGCCTCTCGATTAAAATAAGAAAATTAAAATATAGAGATCCCAATAACCAAAATAGGTCTATTCACAGCTTAAGATAGTAATATGTACATTTAATACACCGTATATAATACTCCTTAGATCTATCGTCTATATATTCTCTAAGAATTACACAATTAATTTGGTTAAACATTCTTACGTCGTTGTTAATTATATGTACCTTAATTAATCATCTGACATTAAATATTAATAGGTACATTGTATAATATTATAATACCTATACGCTATATATTATGTTTCAATATGAAGAAATCTACAGGTTACAACTATTAAACAATTGCATATTGTTTGATACTTTGATGGTGTAATACGGTGTATATATGTCTAAAAAATTAATTCGGTTCAAAATTAAAGCTATTGCCATTTTACCTTTTTATCAACTATACATATACCTACATTTGGAGTGACATTTATAATTCAACACAAAACTATGTATTTTTGTTTATTGTTTTTAATAATTTATGATGTTCTGCTTTTGCCGGTATTCTGTCAATTTTCGATATTTTTATATTAGTTATTAGGGCTTTTGACGTTATGTATTTATGTTGACCGGATACCACTGATTGATTAACTGCAGATGGCTGACATTAAAATAATTAATTGAAATTAATATAAACTGTATGTAATTTTTTCTTTACTACAACAAAATAATACCATAATTCAGTAATGTAGTAATGATTAAAAAATAATATACTTCGTAACAATCGTAACACAATGTGTGAAAACTTGGAAGTTGGTGATACATATTCTATTACAATATTACTTACTGGGGTAGGTATAGCCGGTATAGGTGATAACTTAAGAATATTAACATTTAATATGAAGGGCATTGCACTCATCTACTCTTGTGTAAGTAGTAAGTACTGTGATATTGTATTGTTTAATAATAATTTATTATTAATATTACTGAGAAAAATCGTTCAAGATAAAGCTAAAATCATGTGTTATCATTTATCATACTTATCAGTGTACGAGTGTACCTACCTTTAAGCTATATAGCTTTAAGCTATGTCGTATGTGTATAATGTATACTAATCAAACAAATCGTCATATACAGTTGTTATACCTTTACGCGGTTATACGTCTCAATATTATGTGCACAATTTATATGTTATTAGTTTATTACATTATATTTTGCATTAATGCATTATGTCTTTATAACGTTGTAAGCAAATAAAATCATGATATCTTAAGAGTTAAGGTACTGAGATAAGATAATGTATATAAAATTTGCGCAGCACGTGGTTTCCATTTTCTGGCGTGGTAACGAATTAAGTAATAATTACTATAATAAGTATAACTACTATATTTTGTACGTAATATACTAATATGAAATCATAGAACGACGAATACCTATTATTTAAATATGACAAACTTCATGAGAAAATTGACATTGGCAAACAATTATATTATTTTATTTTGTATACAATATTGAATACAGAGTGTCCCACAGAGATCTGACATTCTGACTAATGAAATAACTTTTGTTCTAATCAATATTTTAAAAAAATTTCTTTTAAATATAATTCATAGACACTTGCGCTACATTCTTAGAATACATTTTTTATTTTTTAATACCTACTGAAAATAAAAAACTTAAAAATTGATAAAAAGTTTTTATGAAATATTCAATATCGCCAATTTTTAAATCTGGTTTTTAGAAAAATTTATATGGTAAAAACACTTATTTAAGTCAAATGGCTGATTTTTTAAAATTTTTTTAAATATCAATATTTTCGTTAAGTAAATTACGATCTAGTTTATGTTAGAAACCTTGTAATTTCAAATAATAATAAAGTTTTTTAAAAATATTTTATAAGAACATTTTTCAATAAGTGCATGTTAAAATCTAATTATTTTTTTTATTGTATTTATTTTAATAATATGACGTGATGTATAAACTATAAATTACTATAATTATTTACCTAACGAAAATATTAATATTTAAAAAAATTGTAAAAAATCAGCCATTTGACTTAAATAAGTGTTTTTACCATATAAATTTTTTCTAAAAATCAGATTTACAAATTGGCTATATTGAATATTTCGAAAAAAAACTTTTTATCAATTTTTAAGTTTTTTATTTTCAGCAGGTATTAAAAAATAAAAAATAAAATATGTATTCTAAAAATGTAGCGCAAGTGTCTATGAATTATATTTAAAAGAAATTTTTTTAAAATATTGATTAGAACAAAAGTTATTTCATTAATTGTCAGAATGTCAGATCTTTGTGGGACACTCTGTATATTATATACAATATACTATATACATCACTTGAACAATTTGTGTGCTAAATTACAGGGATCGTTTTGAATTGTTGTGTATTCAAACATTGAGTAAATATATGTCATTTTGAACAGTTAGTATTTTTCATATTTTTTAAAATCTCAAAAATCAGTAAAGAATATCAGTTTATTTTCACTAATGTACACCTGCTATTTTTTCAATTACCGTCCTACTAATAAGTGTCATAAATAATTTATTATACATTTTATACCTCTATTCCATATTCTAAACATTACAAGATCTATAGTGAACAGTATTTTATCTATGAACAGTATTTTATATTTTAAGTCTTTACCAAGCTAGTAAACAGGATGCTCTCTCTAAAATATTATTTATGAATCGTCTTAGAAATGCAAGTATGCAACAATGGTTTTTTCCGTGTTCTTAATAGAAAAAAGTAATTTATATTTTTCATTTTTTCGGAACAAGTTGTTTACTTATACATACGACATTAATACTGGTGCGCATAAAAATAAAATATTGTCGGCATGTAAATTATTTATTTATTTTTCTTCACAAAATAAACGCGTGATAGCTTTTTTCTGGTATGTAATTTTGGTTTGAAAATGTACAAATAAGGTTCAAAATAATATGATGAACGAGTAAACATTAATATTATACTGCTATACGGTGGTGAACAAAATATAGTTGGATAAACGGATAGGAATATATTTCAATTTGAATCTATATTATGACTATATATAGACAATTTGTATCAGGCAGAACGTTAACTCTAATCGTTTTGAAGTAGGTATAATATGTAATATAAAATACGTTTTATTATAATATAGTGAGATATTCATCCTGGCACCTCGTGCAGTATCATCATCATCATCATTATTCATTACTTGTGTGTATACAAGAGTACATTCTAAATATTTCCTGAAAAAAACATTCCGCTATAGAGAAAAATAATGATTCACCATAATAATATGATAGGTCTTGTTCGTTTACTTTTTCGAAAGTTACATAAATATCGTTAAGTAAATCACATGTGCGTGCCTGTCGATGTAATATTATTAGCAATTTGAGCGTGGTTATGCGGTATCCCTCTTGACTTTCGTGGCACTGTGGCACTGTGTCATATGATTTTATAAACTTACGACRATATAATAATATTTCAAAATCACGGACGCTCAAAGTCAACGCGCGTTTATCGGTAAAACTTTCGCCGTAACGATTACCCTCTTCCTACGCCGCGACCAATCTATAATCCACATTTAAAGAGGAAACATTATGTGCTTGACAATTTATATGTATATTATTATAATATAAAATAATATTATAACATATTATGTATATTATTATTGCATTTTAAGACCGTTTGATCTCGTACGTATAGGACGACGTTTGGTAAAAAATTTAACCGATCGGAATGGCGTTAGGCTAGGTATATATAATATAATATATAMTACAAGGCGAGAGCTCAAACGAAACGAGGATGAGATAAACGAGGAGGTTCGGCCGCCGCCCGGTGACTTGACCGCGGCCTTCTCGCGTGGGTGGGCGCGGTTTGGGGGTGTAGAAAAAAAGCGAAACCTTCAAAGGTAACAAAAAAAAAAGATATATTGTATAAAAATACATCATACACCACGTACGTATATCGCGAGTGGTTAACGTCGAGGGTTTAGGTTCGGGGGGGTTGGGTGAAATGGAAAAAAAAGAGCGCCGCGGGTCTCGTTTGCGTGTGTACGTCGGTCGCGTACGCACTCTCTCGGGTCAATACTTGTGATTCCAAAGGGAGCGACGGCGGCGGCCGGTCCGACACGCACACACACACGCGCGCGCACACACACACACACACACTATTGCCACAATCAAGCAAATATTCCAAAAAAAAAAAAAAAAACACAACACAACACGAAAGAATAAAAGAAAGAAAAGAAATACAAACCGTCACACAAGTGAGTGGTGGAGAGTGCATTGTCGCGGCGATCAGTCGGCGGCGGCGCAGATGTCCCGTTATCAGTTTTTTGAATCCCGAAAAAAAGAAAAAAAACACACGACGTTCGACCGCGGGGTGCGAAATTTGTCAACAAAACCGTGCGGCCATCATCGTGATTTTCGTACGCCTTTCACACCGAACACGTTTCTGGTCGACTGGCCCGGGATAATGGGTGAGACGCGTCGCGTTGTTTGCTGCTGCGGGTGTGTATATATCGCGTATAATAATAATAATAATAAAATACATGTATATATATNGAGTGCCGACGACGACGACGACGGTGGTAGGCGGCGGCCGCGGCAGTGTGTAATTCGCCCCGCGACGACTAGTGCGCGCGTTTCCCCCGCGTGACTCTACGTAGTTGTGCTCTTCACGCGCACACCACTACCACAACTATTACTACTACTTCTACTACTACTACTACTACTACTACAATAACAACAACTGTTACTACCGCTACCACTACCATATTATAGCTAAATAGTGCTGCCGGTAACCACTAACCAGCCTGCCGCAGATCAGTCTATTACCGTAAGTCGGCCGGTGAGTGCGTGTCCGCGCTTTCGATTCGTCGAGCGGCAAAATACAGGAAATAAAAACAATTTTAAAATCGAATATTTTGATTTCACTGATATCGGGAGATACGCGACCCGCGTGTGGCGTTTGCGTTGGCGGCGCGTTTGATTTCACTCTTATCTTATCGGAGGTACGCGTATCGTCGTCGTAATCGTTATTACTAATTATTACCTACTATAGGTATTAATTATTATCGATTTAATTCTAATATTATAATATCACGGGTGTATGATCAAAGGTGATCGGTTTTAATTTTTTTTTTCTACCGCCTCTTATCATCTCGCCGCCTGACCATAACACGTTAATAATATCATTATTATTGTTGTTGTTTTCGTCGTCATCCGTTGATCATTGTTAATTTCTTTTCGATCCCGTAAAATCATCGTCGCAGATCGTTGATCGTTGTATACCGTTGGATGATGGCCGTTCGGCCGCCAGAGCCACGCAAACCGCCGGCATAAAACCGAGACGGTAGTTTCGCCAAAGTCGAGTCACTCCAACTCACTACCCACACACTGTGGGACTAAGTTGGGTGAAAAGAAATCGCAACAGAGTTAACTACACACGATGAATACGGCGGCAGTGGTGGCAATTTCGGTGCTCCTTCTGCACTCGACCACGATCGGTAAGTCCACTAATTGTTATTTCCTGAATTAATTATTAATATAATATTTTGTGTGCCGGAGATTAACGGGTTGGTCTTTGGACGCGGGTGGGGCGCGACGCATGACGTAAAAACAATGTGCTCGCGGCAGGAAAATATCGATTCCGCTCACGGAACGGGGTTTTCTCGAAGATTTTCCAGTTTTTCCTCACCTCCCCTCCTTTATTCCACCATATACCTTCGTAGTTTATAACACATTAATCGCACTGTGAACTAGTCGATCATAATTAATAACGTCATCTTTCAAATTCACCCCTCGAAGCTCGATAAACGTCATTTTTCTGAAAACTACCATCATCATACACTATATTTTACCAGTTAGGTTTTCCTTTTACCGACGTTAGTATGTGTATCACACTGACACTATCACGAGATTGATACGGTCTTCTGTTTTTATGTTTCTGATACGACAGAAAAAGTTAACATAATATAACACCGTACTCGGTTTTTTACGTGCCCTAATAACAAGTACAATAAAATAATATAAGATAATTAATATTATGATTATTGTCAGAAAAACACGTTGTTTTATAGTATGGTAAAATGATTTGAATTGCAAATGGTTAAAATTCCGTTCGTTTCAAATTCCGAACGACAGCTATTTTAAAACAGCTGTTTTACACCGACCCTTATGTTATAGGGTGGATAATGTGCGTCCAATTTAAATCTAAAATCGGAATTCCATCAAAAGTAATTGCATTTCTAAAAATATCGTCAGAATAAAATAGTCATGGTACATAATATAGGAGGGTTAAAAGTTTTAACTTATAATCAAATGCACAAACGTGGAATTATATAGCAGTAATAAAAAAAGCTGAAAATCGTGACCCATTTTTTTCAAGTCTAGTGCCTCTRCACTTCACTAGTGTCTTTTTTTTTAGAATTTATTCATAGGTTTCCACTTAAAAATTATTTAAAATAACAATATCTTGTCAGCGTGGTCGATGTGGCAGTAAAATTATAAAATATAATAATATATAAGTAGTTTTTTTTACGTCGACTGTTCGATAGCAAACATAAAACCACCTATCATCTATATATGCTGTTATGGTATTCATTTTCCTAGTATGGTGGGAAACTGGTTAATTCATCGATAATATTTGAGCAGGAGTGTAGGACTAACAATGTTCTGAGGGTCGTCATCAGTGTAATTTTTGAACCTCCTGTTTGTCTAACAAAAAAACCCATCATTCGTCAGAATTTCGAATATCACTCTTTGCATGTGTGTGTATTTGTGTGTTGTGTTTCTGTTGGATTCCACCCAATAGATCTTCTATAGTCTATATACCGACTGAATGGGTGGGCAGAGTAGTAGTCGTCGTAATAGTAATAGTATTCAGTAAACACTCGACAGAAACGTTTTCACKGTTGTAAACGGCGGCGGCTTGTAATATTATTATTATTATTTTTTATTAGAGTGGCCTACTACTACAGTATAATACAGTGTATACAATATTATATAAGACTACTATAATATTATACCATGTTGACGTGCGGGACGCCACTCGTGGTCGAGGGGGCGCGCACGCGTGTCAATCAATGGACCAAATAGAATGGCCAATTATCCCGAGCACATATAGCGTTTTGCCTATCCTCTTGTCTTCCCCTCAYATCAATATCACTCACGACAATTCCTAGACTTTACTCAGTTTACTCGGTGAAAAAAAATTATGATTGGGCTCCTACGGAACTTCTTTTAGCCGCATTTGAGTGATAGATAAATAATATTCCATAATATGTATAATATATTATATGATAAGGTACATACTTAACGCATTTTTTTGCCACACCTCAAGCACGTATTTCATCATATTTACATCTACGATGTTATCCCGTCGTATTGCTTATGTTTTTCATCGACGTCCACTTTCCAGACTTAATGTATTGTCCTCATCATATTCATTTTAAACGGATGTTTCATTGTTTCCCATACCTAGAAAARTCGCGCAACGTATGTATACCATTTATGGAAACATTGGAAACCAATTCCGAGATAACCTGAGATACAGTTGTTATTATAATATTATGGTGTTTAGCGTGTTTGTCAAACTCCGACCACCAAGCGTTTTGCTTTTACCTGCAGTCCTTGTCACGACATGTCTGTACACATTAGATTAAGTCTTTACGCGTCGGATTATATATTATTAATAATATCAAATATGTAATATTATATTTTACGGCGTTATTATCGCACGAACCGCTTCTATTCAATTGAGTTTAAATCACAATTTAATTTACAGTATTCTATAATATTATTTACTAMATACAACAATTAAAAATTCATAAGTATTATATCCGTTACATAAGAAAATAAAATAAAATTTTAAATTTTAATTCGACTTTTTCCTTGTTTCAGTGACTAAGATCTTCGTTTTTTATTTTTACGATTTTACGAATAGATGATAATGCATTAACTAAATATTATGCAACCCCGTTCTAGGTTAAAATCCATATTTATCTTTATTTTATACAGTGCATATAAATGTATACCTCGATGTATACGTATTTCTTATACAGCATTAATGTATACAAATTAATCTATCGATCTTTCGATAAGTAATAATTATTATCAATAATTTTTTTWAATTTTTTATCTCAAGTTTCAATAGTTTTATCAGACACATCATAGTATTGTGCATTATATTTAATAAAAATTATTTTTCCCAAATTTTGGCAAACTGATAATTCAATTGAAAAAATTACTAATTTATTACTTTTCAAAACAGAACTGCCATGTAAACTAACATTTAAATTTTCAAGGATATCGTGTTRTTTTAGTAGTACCTATATTCATCATTTTGACTACGGCTACCGTTTGATTGATAAGAATATTATATAGCATATAATATGTATTTAGTATGTCTATAGACGAAACCTACGCACATTGAATTAGTTTCTTAAAAAAAAACCCACGTATTAATCGTTACTGATCTAATCAAGATATCATCACGTATATCCTGTTAAAAATATTATATTATGCTCTTTTACGTTATTCATCAGAAAGGTTGTTAGACCTTATTTATTTTTATTTTGTATTTGTATATACAATAATTTATTTATTTAATAAAGTTATGCATTTTTTGTATTTTCGATGTATCAATGTATATAATATAGGTGTGTATACTAGCTAGTTTTCTATAAAATAAAACATTAATACAACGCGTGATTTTTGTTTATAGTTACCTAGCTATTCTATTTTCTGTAGGTGTAGTAAATAAAATTGAAATATATTAAACTTTTATGMAAATTTTTGTGATAGCTATGCATAATAGTAGATACATTCATAAAATAAACATTAAAGTAATAGGTATATTATATATCATGAAGTAAAAATATAGGATATTATCTATTTTTTTTCGGATCATTGTACATTAAAGTACCTACAAAACTTACTTATAATTAATAAGCTGTAGTAATTTAAAAAAAATTCTTGGATTTGAACAAGTGCTTCAAATACAACTACATTTTTGGCTGTAATTTTTTAAACTTTTATTGTTAAATACCTAAAGTATTTTAAATATAAAGGGAGGAAGCTCTAAAAATATTTACTGCTATAGAACCAATATGTTAAGGCTTTTTCAAAGCAAATATATACCTAACCTTTTAGATATTTTTATTATCTAATTAATATCAAATGTTTCAGATATATTTTTATTGTAACTCAATATGATGTGTGAGGTCAACCCCCAATCCCTTAAGAACATTCAAATATTATTGTACTCTTTTAAGTTGAGTTTTAACCTTTTAAGTATAGCCATTAAAAACGTTACATTTTCCTAATTCAAATACTTTAATATACTAGTACCTATATGTTATTATATGGGTTTCATTAAAAAGTGTTAATATTCCATGTGAATTGGAGCTCAGGATTTTAAATATTAAGTGTCATCCCTAAGTATAATAAATACATTTTAAAACTAATACTATTTCCCCATGTAATTTACGTATAATATTTTATAATAGTGGTAATAAGTAATAACAGTGTTATATTTATACATTTAAGACATAATCTATAGTTTTTCTGGAACTATATAGAAAATAAAATACTAAGACTTTGTCAATGAATTAACCGCATTCATATAGTTCTACATAATGCTTTTTAAATCTAATATGTCACACTATGTAGTATTATAGTAATGTCAGTAAAAATCGAGGTAAAAATCATCAATGGATTTAATAATATTATTGAAAGAGGTCTTTCAGTTCCCAAATGCAATGAAATATTACAAATTATTTCTAGTGATAAATTAGACACTTTTGTAGCATAAATATGTGAGTACTTATTACCAAAATATGTATCGTAAATACATATTGTTTAGTCTGTTGGTCATACGTAATACTGATAGCTACAATCCATGGCTTTGTAAAATAACATTACGTGTTTTGAACAGAGCAATAATACAGGCCAAAATGTCATCATCCAATTTGTAACCCGCTACGCAACCCTGCAGGGGGTAAAACACTGAATGAATTGAACGTATACATATTATAGTTCTTTTAAATGTAGGCTTATATATACACACATATATATATATATATATGTATCTCGTTCATATTTTATGGGAGTAAAAACGAGCTAACAACCTATAATAAAATGAGGCATCTTTAAGAAATGCATCTAAAAGACAAAATTATTAATAGCTGCTACTATACCTTACCAACACTTCAAAAACGTAATAATATATATATAATAATATGAATGTATATACACCTGTAATTTATATATTATATGTTTTTTAGTATATATTATAATATATAATATATACATAGGTAGGTCATGTCGTCGTTTAAAAATATAATTTATCAGTGTAAATATCTCTCAGACCGCTTAGCTATTAAAGTTCTATACTTTACTACCGAGATTGAAAAAAAAATTATAATTTGTATCATTTAGATTTGGTATAGCTATTAAATTTGTTGAGTTCTAGTGCTATGCTTTATTTTGCGCTCCAGTATATTCG